GTCAAAGAAGGAAAAACTGAATGCTAGATTGGTTTTGCGTTACCCAATAATGAAACAAATACAGAAATACGAAATGTGCCAGCAGCTATCCCAGAGAGGTCAGAGGCCACTCAGTTACTTCTTTTGCTCAAACCACCCTCAAAGAGGAAGTTACGGCAGGAGAGCGGCGGGGACGGGGCAGCGAGGGCGCCGGACAGCCCCCTCCGTGTGCCAGGCCTGCTGTGTGCTTGCAGCTGAAGGAGAGTGCGGGGGGCACCCCTCACCCCGGGCTGCTGGCTTCAGGACGCCCCACGGCAGATGGGGAGGGGTGGTCCTGGCTGCTCAGCGTCCCTGGGGCCCTGCTTGGGAAGTAGATGAAAAGGCAGGGGTGGCTCCGAGGGCTTACTCAGTCAACCAGGCTCTGGGAAAAGCATCGAGTTTGACACTGGCCGCTCCCCAGACGGCACTTACTAGGGGTGCCTGACAAATGACAGGTGCTCAATCAGCATTTATTTGATGGGCGGGTGAAATAGGCTCCCACCAGAACGTGCTGGAGAGCCGTGCTCAGAACACTGAGGCGCCTCGGCGCTCGGCGCGCGTGACGGTGGTGACTGATGAGCGACGTCTGCCGCGACACCCAAGTGCCAGCTAGAGGGAGACGGTTCGGCTCTGGGTGCCGGGCTCACAGTGCAGCACACAGCTGACATAGCCCAGAACCGCACACTCGAAGCCGATACAATCTTATAACCAGTGTCGCCCCAAGGAATTTAATTTAAAACGGAGAAAATAAATAACTAAAACTTGGCCCGGCCGGGCGTGGCTCAGCGGTTGGGCATCGACCTCGGATCCAGGAGATCGGGGTTCGATTCCCGGTCAGGGCACATGCCCGGGTTGCGGGCTGCAGCCGATCAATGACTCTCTCATCATTGATGTTTCTATTTCTCTCTCTCCCCCTCCTTTCCTCTCTCTGAAATTAATAAAGACGTTTAAAAAAAAAAGAAATTGTATTAAAAAACAAACAAACTTGAACCCTGGGGGGGAAAAAGACTAAGTCTTTGCCAAATTAGGATTTCCATCTTTAGTGCAGTGGGATATGGGCTCAAATCCCAGACTGGGGTCCCCCGGACCTAAGTGTGGAAATGGCAGAGAGAAAAGGGGGCGGGAAGGGGCGAGTTGACGGAGAGAGAGAAGTAGGAAAACCGGGAGGCAAAGGTGATAGTAGACAGAAAACTCAAGTGGCTGAAGGCTGCCAAGCTCTGGCCTCGCTTTGGATGGGAAAATGCAGAATTTCACACGGGCCTTCTCTTTCTACCCACAGGATTAACTGGAGACAAGATTAATTGGAGACCATGTTCTTATTTTTGTGGTCAGGACACAATCAATCTGGATGGGAGGAGCAGTCTTTGAAGGGCAGGAGCTGACCAAGCAGCGCTATCAGCTTAGGAATCCACGGTTCAGACAAGAAAACACTGTCACTTTGTTGACTGGTACCTCCTAGATTTTTCTAGAACCAAGTTTATTCCAGAGTCTATAAAAGTCATAGTTCTGTGATCCATTTAGTAATTGTGTGACTGTCAGTTTTCAGACTGGTTTCCTAGATTCCTGCTAAAAATAAGAAAGGAAACGGTCCCTGCAAACACAGCCGGACCCCCCCCCCC